TCTCTCTCTCTCTCTCTCTCTCTCTCTCTCTCTCTCTCTCTCTCTCTCTCTCTCTCTCTCTCTCTCTCTCTCTCTCTCTCTCTTACACACACACAGTGTGGCACAATCATGTTTTTTTTGTGGAGTTGGGTACAGCAGACATGGCAACACACATGGTCACTGCCAGCCTCTGCCATGAAAACTGCGACCTGTTGTCTTGCACTCGTCCCCCCCAACGCCTTATTACTTGCCTGATATGCTGTTGTGGCCTTGACATGCCATGCTTAAATAGCTGCGAACATCAGCCTGCTTCCTGCTGGCACGTCAGCAACATCCCATGTGTCGTTAATGCTTCCAGGAAGCTGTCATTGAAAGTGTGTATCTCTACTGCTTGGACTATCCCCGGTGCCATCACCCGCCATGCAGCGTTGGGCTTACTCCTGCTGCACCCGCAGTCGGATCTCCTTTATCCTTGCCAGGCGAACAACAGGCACAGCAGTACTGAAAGGTTGTCACCACCACGGCAAGCTGTTGCAGACCAAATCTTGCAACAGGAAAACAGCCTTACTTTGGATCAGTGCCAGTTGTCGCCTGCCCATAGAAAGGGAGTAATGACTGTGGAAGCCTTACAAACTCGCTTGCTGCTGCTCTGTGATGGCCCGCCTGAGATTTGTTGAGTTTGTGATTCGCATGCTTTGCGCCGTGAGGATTATGAAGGCATAGCCCAATGCCCATGCAAATTTTTGTTTTCACATACATGATGACAGTCAACATTGCACTCATGTACGGCACACATGTCATGTCCAATTAGTAGACAGGGGCTGTTACGACAACGCCTATACAATTGCGGTTGATGTGCCTCTGTGTTCCTAGGATGTAGGAGCCACGTACCCTGTGACATTTATCTACGCCCATTCGATGCAGCAACTGCAACTGTGAGAATCGGATCCGGTGCTTCCACAGTCTACACCCGAACCGGTCCTGTCTGGTCTGTAGGGGTGGTCACTTACCAGAGGCAAATGCAAACACTGACTGGCCTCTTGTGCTATTGTAGCATAGGCTGCTCCAGCGAGTATTGAGACCCCTCTGGAGTTTCTCTCCTTTGCTCTTCCCCTCCCCCCTCCCCCCTCCAATTCGCTCCTCTCTCTTCCCCTTCTCCCCCCACCCCTCGCTTCCAATAGAACTCCACCTCCTGCCCCTTTCCTTCCTCCCTCTGCTTGTGTACTATTAGTAAATGTGCACGAATGAGCATCATAAGAGAACAGACAAAATATAAGCTGAAGATCTGAAGAAAAATGAACAGCAGTATAGTTTCCCCGTTACTCTGCCTCCTTTCATAACGTGCAAGTGGGCCATCGAGGCCCGCGGGGATGTGGGCAGCTGGCGCTAAGCCACAGCCAATGTGGCCAGCCTTGTACGTGAGAGGCACAGTGAAAAGGGAGCTGCAAGAACAAATAAAAGGGGTACCCCAAAGAAATCCAAAGTAAAGATAGTCAAGAAAGGGATATAACGGATCTATTCTGCTCCATGTTGCTTGCTCAAGAGGTGAAAGTTCCGTGAAACTGTTTCATTGTTCAATTGGCTCATCTCAAGTCTGCTTAATTCTATGGAATAGAGGTAAAGCTGCATCGAGCATACTACAAGTAGAGAGTAGAATTAACACCATAGATTCAAAAGCATTCAAAGTTTCTTGTTTGAAATAATCGAATTCTGGATCTACTCATCTGGATGGAACAGCGGCTGTTGTGGTCAAAATCTACAACACACACACAGAAGAACATCCCCCCATAACCTGTGCCACTGTTGCGAGAAGGTGGTTGGATATCTCTGTCTCTCTCACACACACACCCACCCACCCCCCACACCCCCACACCCCCACACACCCACACACCCACACACAACCACACACCCACACACCCACTGTTACATGCTGCGCCTGCACACGAGGGCCATTTTCCAGGCCCTGCGTCCCTCAGGCTGAAAGCCTGAAATTCAGGCTGAAAGCCTGAAAACCAGGGCCTACAGGCCCCGTGTCTGTTCAGCTCGAAAGCCTGAAAAACAG